AAAGAGGGAGTAAGGCTAGGGTATTCTTTAATAGTTTCCTTTAGGGTTTTGTTTTTTTTAATTTGTAGTCTATTGTCTGTGGCATGCCTCTTTAGCAAGAGCAGCGTTTATACTATTATTTAGAGGTTGTTGATTTCTGACTGATTAGCATACATTTTTAAATTATTAATGTTTTTTGGGTTAGAGCAACAGCATTTGTATTGGTTAACTCTTTCATCACTTCCAGACACAGTGGAGAAAATGGTTTTTTTGAAATGTTTGTTGATAATGTATCCTATCATTTTGCTACAAACCAGTATTTCTGTGATTCCTTTTTTTTTTTTTGTTGTTGTTGTTGTTTCACCAGTGTTGTTCCTTCCGTTAGGTAGAAGAATGCAACAGTGAGGTATGAAAATACCATTCCTCGATATCCCTTTGCCGTTTGTGTACTTTGTGAAGTTCACTTCCTCTTACATACTTTGCATTTCCTTTTAAACCCATAAAATGAGGGACTAAGAGCTGAGGAATTTGGCTTCTATGCTTTCCCCAGTGTCATTGCCCTCAAAGATCACTGAAACACATCAAGGTATAATATTAGCATCTATTTTTTTGACGTGCTAAGTATTTTCGATTAACCGTCTCTTGAGTAAAGCAGAACTGTTTGAGGGGCTGAATAGCTTTTTACACCATAGTAGCACTCTTGCCCTATAGGACCTCTGCGAGATCAACTGGTCATCAGGTTTACAATGTACAATAAAACTGTCGTTGTGTTACTAATTGCATCAAATAAGAATAGTCTCACTGTTTTTACAAAAAAGAAATATCAAAACAAGAAAATATATGACTGCTTTTCCTCTTTACATCTTTCTAATTTAACAACAAAATACTTGTCAAGAAGATACATTATACAATTTTCTATTGGAAAGCAATAAAACAACCCGAAAAAAAATGGTACAGCTGGTCGATGACCTGTGCCGCATGCGGATGCTGATGGCTGGTGTCTATGTTGGTATCGCCATCTCCTCCACATATGGTTTCAGCATATTTACGGACCATCTGAAGGAGAAGTACGGCTTATCCCAGAGTGATATCACAACAATCAGTACAGTTGGCAATTGTGTGAATTACTGCAGCTTCCCCGCGGGTATGCTGTTTGACTATGCTGGTCCCATGGTCGTGCTTCCTATTGCTGGGTTCTTGGGCTTTCTGGGATTCTTTTTATTTGGCCTAACATTCGACGGCACTATTAAGACTGCCAATGTTGTGCTCTTCTCCGTTTACCAGGGGATTGCACACCTTGGTCTTCCAGCGATGGATTGTGGTGCAGTGATGCCGCTGATGATGCAGTTCCCTATGGATCGTGGTTATGTGGTGTTGGTCCAGAAGACCTTCAGTGGTCTTGGTACTTCAGTACTAATGGCGTACTTCAACGGGTGGTTCAAGGCGGCTGATTCTACCAACATCGAGGGCAACAACTACTCTGGTTATGCGTACTTTGTTGGGGCCCAGATTCTGCTCTGTTCTCTTGTTGGCACCTACTTTATGCGGTTGCCGGTGTACTCTCCTTGTGCGTGGAGGAAGAAGCGCCTGACTGCCGAGGAATTAACTGAACGCGAAGGTACACTTGAGCTGTACATGAAGCAGCATGCTCCCATCCGGCGTCTGAAGATTGGATTCGCACTTGTCGTTGCCATGCTGATATTCGCCACCACACAGTCCATTGCCACAGCTTACGTGAAGACGTCCTACTCGGGCTATTTGGTGATTTCTATTGTCGCCGTGCTGCTGATGGCATCGTTTTCAGTGATTGCGCTGCCGTTCCAGTTCCTGGGACGCTACACTCCGGTGCGCTCAACACACATGGAGGTGATTGGCGAAGCGCCAAACGCACCGCTTGATCGTACGATGACTGCAGATCTATGCGATATGAATGAGCCTCCGGTAGCGAAGGGTGAAGAGAAGCCTGTGCTTAGCCCAGCACCACAGTACACTGGCTCCTTCTGGGCTCACCTGCTAACTGTTGACCTGTGGGCGCTGTGGTTGACATGTCTTGGTACATGGGGTACGGGTACAGTGATGCAGATGAACGCTGCCCAAATATACGCAAGCAAAAACTATGGCGAGAAAGACACTCCCACACTGACACTGTACATTGCCATTATGTCTGTGGGTAGCGCAGTGGGCCGTATCTTTATCGGTTTTTTGGACCTGAAGTTGTCTCAATGGCAGCGGGAGGGAAAGACAGAAATGCTGATGACAGCTGCACTACCCCTTTGTTGTCTATGCGTATTCCTTGCCTATCTGTTCTTTGCTGTGCTGCCACAGCAGGGGCTGATTGTGCCCTTCTTTCTTGGGTCATTTGGTAACGGTGCAGCTTGGTCTATGGGTGTTTTGGCTGTACGGATGATGTACGCACAGGATATTGGAAAGCACTACAACTTTCTGTTTTCCTCCGGTATTGTGTCTACGATTGCACTGAACCGCTTCATGTTCGGCGAGATGTATGATGCTCAGGGGCGTGAGCGTGGTGAGTTCCCCTCATGCAATGCCCCCATCTGCGTGCGCAACCAGATGTTTATCCTCATGGCTGTGAACGTTGTCGCAGCTTTTGGTGCCGCACTCGTGCACTGGCGCTTTGCGCGCTTCACAAAGGCGGAGAGGGAGAAGGAGCAGATGACCGTCCAATTGCCAAGCGGAATTAAGGAGGTTGGTGATGTTGACACGAAGGAGTCATATGAAGCTGGGAATAAACTTTAATCTACTCTCTGCGTTCTGCAGTGTGATGTATTTTTTGTCTTGGTCGTTGCCTGTTATTTGTTTCTATTGACCTACTCTTTCGTGTGTTGTTTTCCTGGTGTCATTGCCTGCGTGCCCGTGGCTGAAGGGCTATTCCAAACGGCCACTGTCACCCTCGGGCAATCTGTACCGGGGATCTTGAGAGAGTCATTGAGAGCGAAGAAATGCGGTGTGTATAATGTTATGACTCAAAGCGCAATAAGAACGTATGGTTTTCGCAGTTGATGTCAGCTGCTGGTGAATGCATCCAAGCCGTCTTAGCGGTAGTGATAGCGAAACCTTTGGCTCTTCTGCCCCATACCGTCTGTTGTGCTGCAGGTTCTGGCAATTATTTACGCCTAAAATTTATTTTATTTTTTTAATTCTTTAGAGGTACAAACATGTGTAGACTATGTCTTTTTTTTACCGTATGAAAACTGAAAACTATAGCGCTGCGTCCCTTACCACCAATAATTTTGAACAAAACAATCAAAACGTATGTATTACTAATTTAATTTTTTTATTAACTAGAAATTAAGGAAAACTACTATTTTTAGAACAGTGTTACTGTTCTTCCCATCGCTGGTAAACAAAATTAACGGCACAGAATTAATCTCTACGGTAGCGAAGTGCCGAATCATCGTAAATATGGAAGCAACAAAAGGTGGAAAAATAAATAGGTAAAAACTGTTATTCGTTGTAACAAGAAACGGTGATGCAAACAGCCACTAGAAGTAGAGTCCCCGATGAATTGCTTCAGTATTACTATATGGTCCTATTTTTTATTCTTTTTTTCCCTTTTTTGTACTCTCACATAGAAACCACACTGAGTAAATCACTCTAATCTCTAAGG